ATCTAAATTATTCTGTGATTACTCAAAGTAAAGAGGGGAGGAAAAACATCAGTCGTGAAAGGAGATGGGGTAAATAGACCCTTTTGGCAAAATCCTGGTAAACAGAGAAAAATTCTGTGGCCTGCAGAGCCACAGCCTCACAGATTGTTGCTTCTGCTGAACTCCCCATGCTTGCAAAAACTCCTGCTCTTTCTTCATGACCCAAAATAATGCTCTGCCCAGGCCTGTAATGCCACATGTCTGCTGACTCACCTCACCAGGTGTTGGCATGACAGACAAAGCTGTCTTCCAAGTCATGGAAATTGGGAATGGAATCTTTTTTCTGAGCCCCTTGCAGCTGTGTTGTAATGGAGGTGTCTATGAGTTGGTGTTGCTGTATGGTCCCTTCAGATACAGGGGAGAGAAACAGCCACTTCTGGGAGAGATCCATTTCTGGATGTCCATTTCTGGGAGATTTCATCTCATCTGAAGTAGACACACAACACAGGGCACATGAATCATGTCCTGGAGGTGCTCATTTTTCTCTGCTGACAGCAGAGGCCAGCCCTAGGTGAGACAGATGCCTCATCCCTGTCACAGCATCACACAGCAAACTCAGCTGCACCCCTGGGAAGAGACAAAGCTGGGATTCCTGCAAGGATGTCTCCTTTCTCCTGGGCAGCCCTGCTGGGTGGCAGCCCCCAGGCAAAGGATGAGCTGCTCTTCCCAAGTCCATTTCTTCTGGAAAAACAGAAAGGAGAGAGGAGAGATGGTTCTGCTCATCCCTTTGGCACTTTAGGGCTGTTCACTAGCCCATGGCTGTAGGATTATGGCACATCACGAGCCCTGGGAGCTGAGCAGTGACCCACCTGGTGCCTCCTGTCTCATCTATTGCCAACCATATCCTTATTCTTTATTCTTATTCTTATTCTTATTCTTATTCTTATTCTTATTCTTATTCTTATTCTTATTTCTTATTCTTATTTTTATTCTTTTCATATTTCTTATTTCTTATTTCTTATTTCTTATTTCCTTGTGTGAATTCAGAGAGTACCAGGCACAGATTTAGGCACTGTCCAGCAGAAGGGAAGAAAAAAATGAGATTTTCCTTAAACACTAATTAGTGTTTAATAACAAATGGCACAACATTCAGTCTCTTGTATGTGATACTCAAGAGGAAGCTCACTGATAGCTCCTCTCTGCAGCTATTCCTGTCCTTAGACAAGGGGAATGATTATACACAGGAAATGACCTTACTGACAGTGAAGAAAAGTGACAGTTGGAATATCTCATTTTTTAATCAGCTGAAAGCTAATATTTAATTATATTTTTGATTCATGGGGTGCTTTGTTCACAGATAATTTGGCCATGCTCATCAAATGGTATCTTTTTTTTCATATTAATTTACTTAAATTGCTGATTCCCTGAATCCAATGTGAAAATCTCCACATGGAACAACTGAAAAAAATAAAGAGCCCCTAGGGTGCTTAAGCTTTCTGGTTATGAGAAGAGAAATCAAATAAAGATTTCAAATTTATTTCATAGACAATTAACCTTTTGATGAGTTGAATAGTTTATTGTAGCAAGGAGACAAATAGAAATTTAGGAGCTGCTATCAATATCTGACCACAGTGACAAGGAAGTGGCTTTGGTAGCGTCCAACAAACACATCAGTGCCTCAGGGGGAGGCAGGTGACTGCTCCTGTCAGTGATGTCCTCACTTCACCTTGCACCAACCCAGAATGTAAAAAAACCAAGAGGAAGAGGAGTTTGTGGAGCAAAAAAAACCTTTTTCTTTGGGTATTTTCTGAGGGTTCAGGTCTGTGCTTTAAGCTGATATTTATGTGCTCAGAGAGACAGGTAGGATGACGCTGAGATTCCCAGGGGCACCTTCATCCCTTCCTCTCTTGGCTGTAATTCCCGCAGGAGCTCAAGCGCCTGTGTGGCCAGAGAGCAGCACAGCTCCTCACTCGTGTGAGCACCCAGCCCCGGAGCTGCTGCCAGGACACGGCCAGGGTGACCTGAGGGATGTGCAGCTCCCTCTCCTCGCTCTGTGCCACCTCTCCAGAGCCACAAAACTCAGCCATTTCCCAACCCTCGTGTGCTGGGGAGGAAGGCACAGCTCGAAGAGAGAACCGAAGCGCACTTAAGCATTGCGAAGGCCGTTGGCATGAAGTGAGTTTCCAGGCTGCCCTGTGCTGAGCCAAAAATTCGTGGATTGCTGAAGATTTTGGTGCAAACAGGTCTTGGAGCAGCTGATGCTGGAATAGGGAGCGCTATCTGGTGGCTCCTGCTGCACAGTGCAGCACTTTCTGATCCCACACCTTCCTGGCTGGAGAGGTTTCCATGTCTCGTCAAGGTGTTGACAAGGTTTATGGAGGCTCAGATGCGGTGTTATATTCGTTCAGCCTCATATTTAAAAAAAAAAATTAAAATGTCTCTTTATGAAGCTGGAAGTTGAAGGAATAATTGGCAGTGAAATAGCTTTGAAGTCAGCCCACTCACACATATCTAGTTAATCCATTAAATATTTTTTGGTCGACTTTGCACATCTGCTGTGGGATCCCACAGCTGCACTGACTCACTGCAGCAACTCAGCCGAACTGGGAGGGCACAGAAGTGCAGAAAACGAAGTTGAACTTGTCTTTTGTGAGTCAAGTGTTGGTGTAGGAAATGCCTTGAACGCCTGGCAGGACCAAGCCATCCTAAAATAATATTCGGTCGTTTCTAATCCTGCCTAACCCCTGTTGTGTTGCTGCCAGCACAGGATCATGGTGAGATTAGAACAGGGCACGTTCTAACATCAGCAATAACAGCTTATACATCCCTGAATTAAAACATCAATTATTGCTACAGTTTCTAGCCCAATTTCACAAATATTTAACCGTGCTAAAGATCAGATGTCCCCCACAGCAAGAGGAATGGAGACAGATTTGACCTACAGCTCAAAAGACCTTCAGTTTCTCAGGACAAACTTTTAAGTGGGGCCATGGGACAGCAAAGTGGATGTGAGCTGGACAAATCCCACTTTTCCACTGCAAGCTTTCTAACCAGAAGTCGAGCACAGCCCTAACTTTTTTGACTATTCAGAAACTGAGTCCTTAAAAGAGCCAGTTAACACTGGAAACAACTGGAAGATTGGTGTGTTTATATAGCAAAAAATGTTTAAAATCCAACTCCTTTTCAGCAGCAGCACAGTCTGGATCTGCTCAGAAAGGGAAAACTGGGTTTCCAGCAGGCAGATACACTAGCTTGATCCATTTAATGGTAGCTAAACAGGGATGTTATTGATTTGGGTCCCCAGAATGCAATGTCCTTGGACAGCCCAGATCCCATAAAAGTGACTAAAATGACACAGGTCTGCTTGGATTACCAACAGTAATATTTCTGTTCCTGGATTTTTTTCCCCACTAGTACACTCGGAAGCTGATGTCAGCAGGGGTTTTATTCCAAAGTCAATCACGAGGACCAACCACAGCCAGTGGTAAAGCTCTGCAATACCCTGTGCAGGGAATGTGGGCTGGCTGAGCAGATCTGTCTCTGCAGGTCATGCCTGTTTCCTGGCACCAGCAGCCAGACCCAGATCCCCCAGTTCCTTTTTCCAAGAACTGTACTGAGGTCACACATGCTATAGGTCAAGATGTGCTTGGGATGTCCTGAAGTCCTACAGCACTTTCTTGCTGTTAGAGAAGAGGAAAGCAAGCAGCTAAGTTTGGCAAGGCACATTGCTCTGCTCTTTGTGACTTTGACCCCTCGTGTTGCTGATTTAACTTGAGTGTCTTTAGACCCTTTAGTGTCTCACTCCAGTTTTTCTTCCAGCACATGGCAGATCCAGCTCCCTGCAGAGGGAACTTCTGGCCCTGTGGCTTCCCTGTGTTAATCCCCAGTTCCTTCTGTTCCTCTGGCACCTGGCTTGTCACGGGCTGGGGGACAGCAGGGCAGACATGGCATTCCCAGTGTTCCCCAGCCCTGTTTGGTTACATCTGAGAGCTTGTCCTGTTGCTTTCTCCTCCCTTTCAAGGTGTTGTTCCATCATGAATCTACAATGACAAAGGCACTAAGGGAAATTCCTAGCACAGCCTAAATAATCTCAATTAGAAAGAAGATGGCAACTCCCCATCCCAAATAATCTCAATCAGGTAGAAGATGGCAAGTGCACAACCTGCCCTTCCAAGGCTTGGCTTTATCCAGTCCCAAACTGCCTGTGCCCTTGGGAATGCAGTGCAACAACTGGGTATGGTCCTGGTTCCAGACCACCATGATTTTCTCATACTCATGAAGCAAAAGCTTTTGGCTATTTACAGGAGCTGGAATAATAAATTGTGGAAAAGTGAAATTGTTAAAAAAAGTCAGCTGAAGACTTGAGTGTCATCTCATCAGTTGCAATAGGAACAGAACAGAATAGGAACAGTATTTCCTAAGACCTTGATCACAGTATGCATGAAGGGATTGGTAGGTAGCTCAGGTTTTTCTGGATCATAGTGTCAGTCAGTACCAGAGAGGAAAAAGCAAGTCTGAAACAGGCAAAATGCCCTTTCTCAGCCACAGACATCCTGACACCCAAAAATGGAGGAATTGCTTAAATCCTACTGATACCAACAGGAGCCAGCTGCCTTGATAGTTTGAGTGTCTTATGCTCAGCCATTTATTTCTCTGTCCCTCCTGCTGCCTCTGTCTGAGAAGGGAATAAGTGTGAGGAGCCCATGTCAATGTTGTTTGGGAGGGAGGAAGTGTTCCTCTGTGGAGAGGGGAGGTCTGGCTTCTCCTGCTCTCATTTTCAGAGAGTTCTCAGAGTCTAGACTCCACACTGTGGTGGTAGGGGGATTTTTACTTTTTTTATTGAAGTAGAAGGTAAAAAAGGATAGATTCAGTAGATTTTCTCTCTTGGTTGTTTTAGCTTAAAAAGATCATCCTTCTATGTAATCATACCAAGGTTAGCTCTGTTGTTGATTGCACTGGCCACCCTCCCTCCCTGCAGGTAGAAGAGGCTCCAAATTACATGACAAAACAAGAACAGCAGATTCCTTCAGAATGCACAGTTGTAAAAATAAAGATTTTATTTGTAAAGCATCTTTGAGAAAATAGTTTAAAATACCACTTTTTTTTCCCCGAAGATATTAAATACATTTTGCATGAACAATCCCAGGATTGTCCAAGCCTTCTATACATGGTCTTTATTTAACACTATTTACAAGGACATCAGAAAGGTTTACTGACAATGAGGGTTTGCTATTCAAAGTAGATCCCTCAAAAAAAGAAATAAAAGAGTGTTATATAAGCGAGAGCACTCATTTGTATTTTCAACAGAGCTCCCTGGGAGAACTTGTATTTACTGACAGAATACATTGTTGAGTGACCACTCAGTGAATAATACACCAGAGCTAGCTATATTTAAAAGCCACATAATGCAAGTTTAACAAATACTAACAAATTAACAAATACTCTTTCCATCAGTGAGGTGTCTGTGACTCCACACCCCAGACCTAATCAGGATAGACAAGCTGACGCTGCATGGAAGGCAAGGGAGAGCAAGGCATGCAAGACCCTGTTTCATAGGTCCCTGCTACCAAAAATAGTGTTCCAGACAGGGTCCTCAGCAGGGCTGTCCCAGGAGCTGTGTTAGAGCCCAGGGAAGGAGGGATGAAAAGAATAAACACTGGCTGCATACAGAGCAGAGCAGAGCTGCTTGTGCACCACCACTCTGCTGAGCTCCCACCTTGTGCTGCAGTTCTGGCACCAATTTACTCTAACCTGTGCCAAATAACCATAACCTAATTCCCAAAAAACAGGGGTGTTCAGGGGGTGTGAGCCAGGGCCTCGACATCATGGGATACTCAGTGCTTCAACAGGAATTCTGAGCCTAGGCAGACTGACAAAATATATAGATACAGGGAGAGCTGGTTTGAAATGAAATACATAAATCCTGCTGGAAATATGTGCAGCAGTAAACGGACCCTTTATCTTCTGTTCAGCACATTCCAAACAGGAAAAGCTGTACCATAGTAGAAAAGGACTGTAACTTCACCAGGACTGCTGTGAAGAGTGGTGGGAAAAGGTTAAGGCAATTTCTTCTAATTGCTCTAAAGGAATTAGAAGCAATCTAAAGCAAGGTCTGCTCCAATGCCACAGGAGTTGCTTCTGTTGGACTCTAGAATTATCAAGAGCAGGACAAAATTGCACTATATGGCACATCCTTGCTCAGCCAACCATTTTTGACAGGCACAAATAGGTGAGTAAAATATTTTGGGTTCAAATTAAACTAATGTTTGCCTTCCCCCCCCCATCTAGTAATACATTGAGACTGTGCTGTGAAACCACACCTGTATTTAGCACACTACAGATTTGACACATATAACAAGTTATTTCTTCATAGCTCAGCAATTAGAGAAACCTTGAATTCAAAAATCCAAATTAAGTTTCTGGTCCATCAGACTTCTATAGCAAGTCCACATAACTGAGATGTGTCCCATTTTTCTCCTAATCAAGCTGCACATGCTAGAACATGAATTACCCTGAGCTCATTCTGCAGTCACAGGAGAGAAAAAGGCATCTTTATACAGTGGTAAAAGTCTCAGGGGAGCTGAATCACCCTTGGCCAAGGGCACAGAACCCAACAGGATGACTCTGGGCTCAGCTGAGCATTCACAGCTACCAGGCTTAGTCACCCTGTTTTCAGTGTCACCTAAATACAATATTGAGTAGTTTGGATCCTGTCTCTCTAGATTGCCAGAGTTAGAGTCATTGCAGTACCTATAGGGGATAGGCTGAAGAGAAGTGTCTCTGTTCCTCACTCTACCACGTGTACAATGTGGAAAATTCCATACCTGTTTAAAGGAAGATTCATGAGGTGTTAGAAGCTCAGGAATTTGGCAATGGACATTGGGAAGGAAAGGGTGGAATTATCCTAAGTTAATATGCACAATTAACATCGGATTACAAGATAAATATATTAATTTTCTGCCTTGCCCAAAATATTTAAGTGAAACTGATGGTTTATCTTATAAGTGCTTGTAGACAAACATTCCGATGAGTCCTGAGGGTTCAACCAAGTATTTACCTGATCTTCTCTTCACATAGATGTAAAACAGTATTGCCAGGAAAATCAGCACTAATGCAACTCCAAGTAAAACTCCAAGGACAATCACTGCTACTCTCCAGGAGGAACTGTTGTCAGTTGATGACTGAACAGACAGAGCTGGAAATTTAAAACACATTTTAGGAATGTTAGCTAGAAACAGTAAAAAAGTGGGTGTAAGAAATCCTGGAGCCCTAAGTGACAGTTGTGTTTTACTGCTTGGCAGCTTTGAAACTTCTGAATAATATTGAAAATATTTTTGTATGTGGTGAAAATTTGTTAACTAGAAATCTTTTCTGAAGGTCCTTGTGATCTCTTGGTGACACCCATAACAGCTGCTCTGAGGATTTGCTGTGTGGAATGGTGGAACTAGAGAGTCTTTAGATCCTTTAGTGTGAAGAGAACCCATCCTTTGAGTCTGGAACTGGGTATGTGTAATGACTCTTTAAATAGGTCCATAATCTGTATGAAATCACGATGTTTGGTGAATGTTTATATAGGTTACTTGAATTATTTGAGTCTCTTAAAAGAGAGAAGTTAATTGTCATCTTAATTTAACAGCACCTCCACATCTTAATTTAGCCTTTAATCCCCACACCACTACAGAGAAGCTGTTTCAGCATCACTTACATTGCACTTCAGTTCTGTCCCCAAACTTGCTCCTTAATACTTTACTCAGCTGGTCCTGTATAACATCCACATTCATGGCATCTTCTTTTGGCACCAGAAAGAGGAAATCAGCAATCACGCTGCCAGGTCTCAACCCCAGCACGACAATATCAGAGTGGTTATTCCCCAGCTCAGCACTCATTGCTCCAACAACCTGTGCAAGGTGAAATTGATATTTATTCCACTTGTCAGTCAGCAGAGGCAGAGCAGGAATGCACACACCCTGCACACATCAGGATATTACATTTTCTCCACTTGCTGCTCTTTCAAGGTAATTGCTTTGGGATAGCAAATAAAAACACTCATTGAAAGAGGATTCTGGAGCGATGCATTGTCTGGGATTGAAAATGTGAAATCTGAGTTTGACTTCCAAAGCTCCAATCTGTTTAGCTGGTTATCAATGAATAATGCATTTAAATAAGTTGTCCTCCTCCACAAACCCATATGGGACCCCAATTTACAAAATTTGGAATCTACAAAGAGTGCCCAATATTTTTAAAGCTACGTTCAGTGTCCCCTAACTTTTTATAACATGTGCAACTAAACTTCAAGCATGGTCCTGCACACAATACCAGCACAGAACTTGATGTGAGAGGTTTAAACCTTACTTTTGTCACCAGATTTTCAAAGTCATGACGTTACAGAATACCTTTGCAAAGAGAGATCAGGGTGTGATTTGCCTCTCAACCATTCTGGCATAAACCAAGTGCATTCCCACGACACCAATCAAAATCCAATCAATTACACTGATATCTCCAAAAGTAGAGTCTTGCTTAGTGCTTTCATCTGGATGTAAAGCAAGAACAACCAGTTCCATTTTTAAAGTAATAATGGTTTAAATGTTTTTGTCAGAACTGATCTTTTCAGAAAATTAGATGTTGGATTCAACCCACTAAGAGAAGTTATCTTCTCCCTGTGGATAAATATGGTATTTTAACTGAAAAGTCTGAAAAATTACTATTTTTCATGGATGATAACAAACTTTGTTCTGAGTCACTGCTCAGTTTTCTGCCTCCATCTTTTGTGGGGGTTATACCCCCACCCTAAACTTTACATCCCTTTAAATTCTTTGGCCAGAGGCTCCAAAAATGCTTTTCTTTTCCTCACCTTGATGAGCAGTCTAGATAGGAAACCTGACTTACGGAGGCAAAACTGTAAAATTTCAAAGCTACAACTACAGAGTGGTAGTACTGTGGAATATAAAAGAAATACTTTAACATTCAAATTGGAAAAAGAAATCCAATAGAGGAATTGTCTATATTTTCAATTATGTTAGTACAGCCTCTCTTTGATTTTGCCATTTTTTGAAGAAAAGCTGACACTTTGCATGAGGTAAAAGTATATTAAAAGCCAGTAAAGGGATTCCTGTTGCGTTCAGTCAGGTTGGAGGAAACATTTTACATCAACTAAAATAAATTTTCTATCCATGAAATGGAGATGTTAGCAGTCATAAGACAAGGTTACCTCCGAGCTGGCGTGGTGAGAACAAATTAATTAGTGCTTTTGAAATCTGTGGAGTTTCTTAGCTAAAGGGTATGATCATCACACCAAAAATATCTGTCATAGTTATTTAAAGCAGTCTACCCCAATCTCACAGTAAAATTACCTTTCCAGCAGGCTTATATACACCAGGATTCCTGAGAGGTGTTGAAATTATGAGGTTTTTTTTAACATGCTGCTGATGACAGTTGAGTGGCAGACTGATGCTTCTGCCTGTCAGCATTACCAGCTCAAAGCTTCCCCTTTCCCTCCTCATTTTCCCCCTGAGATGGACCCCTTGATACCTTGTCCAATCCTGCAGCCACTTCCATGAAGTGAATTGCCAATGATCTGGACTCCCAGTACACACTTGCAAAGTTTTCATGTTTCCCAGTCTGTCATGAAATGCTATTTTTGAGTAACATCCTTTTTTTTTTGGCCTCCACAGGCATCAGTTTAGTGAAAATAAACAGAACGGGATGTTCCTTACAAAAATACAATTTTAAAGTGCCTTTCACTAAATAACTTATATTTGAGGATGGCATAGGGAATATAACCTTCCTCATTGGACTACAAGCTGTCTGTTCTTGGCAGATTTTGTGCTTCCTATACAGTTTTTTCTTCTTCACCTGTCAGAGTCTTGATTTAACAATGAATGTAGGAGACTAAAGTTACTAATCACAAGCCTTTCTGCAGTTCATTCATGTTGACAAAGAAGATTGCATCAACTTACATCTGTTTTGATCTTTTTAGATATTGCTGCATAGCCTTCACTATGAGAGTCATAGAGTGTATTATTAAATGTCTCGTCTTTTAAAGAAACTTTGCAGGCAAATGCTTGGTTATCTGGAAAAAATAAAAAAAAAAAATAAGAAGAAACAATTAGGTGAATCCCAGGATTACCTCCATCATTGGTCTTTGAACTATTTATCTATTTATTTATATTATATTATATTTGTGTATTAAAAATATTAATTGATAAAACCAGAAAGTAATATAATAATAATAATAAAAATAATAGCAATAATAGTAATAATAATAATGTATTATGTGTCTAATGCAGTGACTTTGGAACCTTCAGAGCTGAATCTCTCCAAGTTTGTCAGCCATCACAATCCTCACGACTTGTTCACCATTCCTGTATTATTTAGGGTACATCCCACTCCCTAACTCAACAGCCACTCTCCCATTGATTCCAGGAGAAGCAACACCAGTCTGTTAGACTCTGCAAGGCTCCGAGTGAGTTTAAATCCTCCTGAGTAGGTGGATGAGCCCTGAGCCAAAAGAAGAAAGCTTTACATAGAAAAGTCCAGACTAAAATAGAGCTGGAAGCTGACACTGAAGTTTGATGGAGGCAGCTTCTTCACCAAAGAAGTGTGAACTTCAGATGCTGTGTGAACTGACATCATAAAGCAGATGGCAAAATACTCATGGGAGATACTATATTGTGAAATAATACCCTGTAGTTATGGATAAACAAATGTTAAGGTTCTATAAACTTACTGGAGCACACAACGCCTTTTAAGTCAGAACAGGCAGTGTTTTGTGCTGAACAAAACTCAGTTCTTTTGAAACAGGAATCAGGATCTGCAAAATAAATGTAAAAATCAAGATAATCGCTTCTGTGCATGTATTATTAGTGTTAATAAGAAAATTATGGAATAAGTGAAAGTCTTTCATTATGGCCAAGGAGTCACCTAAGCAGCAGTTCCTTTGGCCCAGTGAGAACTTAGAATTTCAAATTATAAAATTGGAGCATATCAAAAGAGAGGCAGGTGGTGGGTGGGTAGGTGGCATTTGAGAACTCACTGAAATAGCTTTGAGAACTCTGGTTTCTTATGGGAACTAAAGATATAGGTTGTGCTATTACATGCTTGTACAACTCAGGTGAGCTAGATGGAGTTTTCAGAAGTAAAAGTCACCTGCGATTTCTTTCGGAAAAAATATGCATTATGGAGTCTCAAAACCTCTGTATACTTGTCTGGATTTGCTAATCTGAATTATTTATGAAGGGCCAAAACCCATTAAAGGCTGGTACAGCAGGTTTTATGCAGTCAGCTCGTTGGATTATATCTCCAGTTCTTATAGAATTGAACATAATCTTTAATTTCACATGAAATATGGATGAGTTGATCTTTATTGGTCTTTTTAATTAGCTCACAAACAATTTTATGTAGGGCAGGTGGCTCCAGATTACAAAAGGAAACCATTTTTTATTTTTCTTGAATAGAAAAACTAATGTATGAAAGGCAGTGGACTGAAAAATGGAAAGATTTCAAAGGAAATAATGATGAGAATTCCTTGGCTTTTTGGTCCTAAAGACTAAGAGAGAGGGTAAGTCCATCAGAAGGAACCCCCACAGTCAGCTGCCAAAATAATTGCCTTAGAAGGGTTTTGAGAATAATCAATCTACTAGAGAACTCAAAAAAGGGATTACAAGAAGGACATTCATGTTTTAGAGGTCAAGAAATGCTGGAAGAAAGTAACAATTGCCAAAAGTCAAGTTAGATCTTTCAAGTTATGGAAAAAGAAATCGTGAGCACTTCCTCAGCCACTGGGAAAGAATGATAAAGTGCAGCACAGTTTTATCAAACGTGGATCATGCCAAAATACCCCAGTGGCTTCTTTTGACATGCTGACTTTTAGATTTCTTCCAGTGATGGAAAAGCAATAGTATACAGTGCCAATTTTTTTAGTGGAAAAAGTTTTGTCTAAAGGAATTGTCTAAGGGGAAGATGGCAATGGGGAGTTTTAAAAGGAGAAACCTTGATTTAGAGAAATATTATGTGTCATGTTCCCTCAGAATCAGTTTTAGTACAGAGACACAATTAAACTGTTTGCCCTAATGTCTACAAGCTAGGGTGAAATTTAAAAAGTGACAATGACAATTAGAGACTGCATTCATAAGAGCATGTAGAACCTAAACTCCACACTACCAGAATATTTTCTGGTAAATTTTCAACCAAAATATCCTGACTTCTATACAGAATTATCTGGCTCAATAATACAAAATTATCAGAAATTTTACAGAGCAAGTTCTTACTCTTGCAAACTCCTGTTTAATTCAAACAGTCCTATCCAAATAAGGGGATGAGTCAAATAAATAAAAATTACTTGCAGGAACTAGAGTCTGTGAGATCAAATCCAGATCATATCACAATAAGACACCGTGAGTTTATATTAATTTTAAAAAGAAATTAAAGAAAGAAAGAAAATTAAAAGAAAGAAATTAAAACAAAGAAATTAAAGAAATTAAAAGAATTAAAGAAATTAAAAAGAAATGCCAGGGTGATGAAGGATGTACCTGTTCGGACAGTGACTGAAGTGTTTTTATTCTCAGCACAAGATGACACTGCCACAGAAATAGTGTACGAATGGCCAGGAAGAAGGTTTTTAAACACAGTTTTTTTCTCATTTGTAGTTGTTGTATTTGTCTGCTTTTCATCCATGACAGAGATGATGTAGAGGCTGCCTTTGCTGCTACTGGTCCAGCTGAGTTTTATTTCTTCTCTAGTCACATTCTGAACTTCGATGGACACTGTCACTGCAAAGTGTGAAAGTTTCATACAGCTGAGAGCAGTTAATTTCACTTCTGCAATTCTACACATTTATTATTGAAGAAAAAATACAAATCAAACCAATATAAACTCTTGTGTGTGTTTTTTGGAGCTGATTTCAGTTTTCCAACTCATTCCACCAAAACAGTAGAAGTGAGCCATATAGACAGAAACCATGCATTAGTGTACTTTGTTTGATGGCTCCAAAACACAAATGGGTGAAATTCTGCTTGCTTCTAGCCTTTGTAACTGCAGGCAAAGTGTGGTAAATGGTCAGAATTGTACAATGTTGCTTTAAGGTAATAGAGAATTGATGAGGCTAGTTGAGAAAAACATGAGCATTCTGAAGTGGACTGATATTTGACTCATCCTGATATCCTCAGGAAGATGGATTTTTAAAATACCACCAGGAAAACCTAAGTTCATAGCAGTAGGGAGGCATTTATTAAACATCCTTCATAATAGGGTTAAGAAAACTCACTTATCACAGTGGTTTATGCCTGCAAGCAGGCAGCCAGTGAACATTTACTGGGTCCAAGAGAGCTTTACCAAGGTGTAGAAACTGCCTTGATTGATATTTGCATAATTATGCATTTTCAATGATTTTATCAGACTTCCCTTACTGAAATTATATCCAGGGATTTTACCTCACAGTTGATGTGACCAATGAATAAGAATATTGTGCCTAATTGGATAGTTTTCATTCTACTATTCAGTATCAAATATTTACTTACTGCAAGGTGCTGACGTAAAAGTGGCATTGGAAACATAATTAGATGTAGATCCTGTAAATCCAGTTGTGTTGGTGTTTGGAGGAACTGGAGTTGTGGATGCTGTTCCAGTTGTACTG